TGGGGTCGGCGCAAGAGGTAAAGTATTATGCCAAATGCCATCATATCGTAACGAAACATGATATAATGGCATTTTGATCAACAATTCTCTGTGCTTAGATAATTTTTATCATAGCTATTGCTCGCGAATTCGTCCCTGTTGTTTTTGAGTTATTTCAATACATACAAAAGTCCAAAAATACACATCTTTCCTCTTTGTATATTAGTATAGATATAGATTACAATGTGTTGCATTTAAATTTACAAAAGAAGTAACGTCAAACACAAACTTGTATTACTGTTTCCTTGGGTTTGATAAAACTTTTACTTGACACGTAATTGGTTTCTTATATATTCTCGTGTGCTAAAAAGATTCACAAAAATAAATATATTTCAACTTTATTTAATGCAATTTTTTAAATGCAAATGCAATTCTCAATTATTCATCAGTGACGCAGAAGTATGTCTTTTGTCCGACCACACTTTCGAATGTCCTTAAACTGTCATATTATAATTTACCACAAACATTTGCGTGATCTTAAAGTACCATTGTCTTTTACATCACCCCCGAACAATAAAGCGTGAAGGTAAAAAAATAAAATAAAGTAAGGGTCGAATGTCATGGCGTCATCGGTAGCTGAATTGTACTTAGTAGTACAAAGATGTCAGGGGTGTTAAACTTTGTCCCTTTGCGTCAAGTTTTATAGTATTAAAAAAATGAAATCTAAAAGAACTGGATATCGTCAAACGCTATTGCTATACAATTAAAATCTTAACATAAACGTGATTAACCATACAGCGACCTTTAACGTAGGTGAAAATTGGTTTCTGATAATTTTACGTTTTTCTAAAATTTCCTTTTTGAGACTACTATTAACTGTTAATCGTAAAAATTAAAACCTAATTTGGAACATCTAATCCGTATCTAGCAGTTCAAGACGTCCACAGTTCAACTGCCCTGTCGCATACGTCTCTCTTCGACGATAAATCCTCATTAGCCGCCCCCGGGTTTACGGCGCGCGATCCCACGGCGGCAGTAAAGCGGGCCGCGGTATTACTGTTGCATTACCCCTGACTTTTGTTCGACGTTGTTTCATCTGTAAGTGATTGGAGGTGCACATTTTTTTGATTAAACTTGCTAGAAGGAACCTTCAGGCTCACGAAAACTTTTGCTAGAATTTCCTATATCTCATGCAATTAGCAATGCCTTGTAAGACGTGATTTAAAATTTTAGATGAAAGAAGATATCTTGACAAGTAAAGATTAAATCTTTTCAAAATCAGGTCCAAATTTCTCCTGGACTAATATTGAGACTTGGACAAATGTGTATTTTATAAACAAAACCTTCCTAAGTCACTTACATAATTTCCCGATAAATAATTGACAGTACGCGAGGCGTGCGTCTCCAGAAACATTTTATATATTATTCAACCGATGTTGCCAGTGTTCTGTCATATTACCCTAATATTGGAGAAATATTCGGCGTTTGTGAGGGGAATGCGTTGCAAAATAGAACGTATTTTGTAGCAGGAAACGCGAATATTTGGCAATATTTAGTCCAAGAATATAAAATAAGAATACAGTTATGACCCTTACGTGTTGGCTTTAGTCATATTTGTCGGTTGTATATTAATAAAATAAATTTATTAATGTTAGAGGGTTCTCATACCACCATTAATTATAACCATACTTAATTTCATATGAAACAAGTCCATAGTTCCCTATTTCTTCAACTACATCTGGATGCTTTGAATGCCGATTGACTAATCAAGAAAAGTAACTTAGTGTAGACACAAACTAACAAATATAATAACATTCCCTTTATTATATTTCTCTGAGAAGTTAGTTATATCTGATCTCTGCCAAAACCGTTTGAATTTAAAAAAAACTTTTGTAACTCAACATAAAAAATGCCATGACCACTTAACATCTGATATAATTATAAAATCATAACGAATAGTGTTGTGACGCGATCAAAACACCCGGACACATTAATGAATCGTTAAGGTGGCTTTCAATTAGAGATTACTATTCGATTAGGGGTTTTCACTCACACCAGCGCATGCAAGGGGAACTAGCGAATTTTCCGGAGGGCGTTTGCAGTGTCACCTCACTAGCACGTGACGCCTCGCGACGAGCGCAGGCCTACGCGTTCTTTATTCAAAAGTTTCAGTTCCGTTTTCAACTTTTACGCGTAAAACGCGCGCGTAATCTTTGGTAGTTTTTAAAGTTTTTGGTAGAATTTAAGTGAGTTGAAATGTGAGACTGTCTGTTCTTTTGACATTTTTTGTATAGTTTTGTGCTGATATTTATATTTTAAAAATAATTTGCAGTGGTTTGTTTACATTTAAAGATATATCGTAAGATTGTTTTGAACTTGACATAACTTTACATTAAGTTTAGATTTTCTTTCGAGCTTATTTTCACATTAACTTATATACGGTCGGATACTTACTAATTATTATCGATAAATATTAACTACTCAGAATCTTTCGTACCTAACTCATAACTAAAGAATTGGTTAAGTTTAACGGTGTGATTAATTTGGCTGGAGAAGATAATCGTTGAGTTTTTAATTGAATTTTATAATGATAGATCAACTTTATCGAATTGTTTGTTATCAAGAGTTTTCCTTTATTGGTTCTTTGGGGGAAATTCTAAAGTTACAAATAACTAGTTTCCTTTAAACTTTTGTCGATCCTATCTTGTATAGGTTAATTTAAATACGTCTCCAGCTTCCTTGTTACTGAAAAAAGTGTTTGTGTCGGTAGCCTTTGGTGTGACGAAAGCATTGCGGTGTCTCTTTCATCTCGCCGCGGCTATCGAGAAGTCATTGCTGTCGGAATCGAATCGACGACAAATTGGTGGTTACGAATGCGGCGGTACATCGATTTGTGATCTGTCTTATTGCTAATAGGAAAGAAACTTCTTGATACTTTTTAATATTACTTAATTTAATTTAATACATGCTAAACAAATTCATAAAAATGTAAACTTCTTCGCTAGTATTGGTTTAACAATTCCAGTATATTTTTGACTCTTCGTCTTTAACAAATGGACAAAGTATACAAATTTAAAACTGTTAGAAAATATTTGTTTTTTTTTTAATATTTTAATAGTGAATTTACCGGAAAGTTTTAAAGATTCCTAGTTACGAAATTTTTTTAATTTACAATGTCAGTTTCCGCCACTAACATACAAGGTTTGAACAAATGTTTCAAGTATCAAGATTATTGTTTCGATCTATCAAACTATAATGCGTTACGCTAAATATCGGATCCAGAGACTCGCAACCCGTAAATAATCAAGTTAAATATGGACAAAAATACGAGACCATTTGATCGTATATTGTGATTTGGTTAATTATGTTGTTATAATCGAAATGGCTTTTTATATTATTGCTTCTTCGAATTACAATTTCTGTTGTAAAATTATTTTTGAATTTAAATCTAATCCCTTTTTTATTTTTAATAGATTCCTACCTTTTGTAACTAAAAAATGTTTGCAAAATATGACCAATTCAACTACATGCATAAAATTATTTCCCTGATCATAGCAAGCTAATTTCACGTAACTGTTTAGTGAAATTACCGCAAATGATTATTACCAATGATAAGTAAAATTAATATATTCAAGTTAAGCGCATTCGACGATCTGTTTCGAAAGGAGCGGCACATTCAAAGCTACAAACGAGCAAACAAAGGGATCCGAAAATCTTTTCAACAATGGAAAGGAAATAAATGCTAAAAAAAGCCACGAAGACTCATTATAGGTGCGTTTAAGAGGCTCGTTACGGGCGGAGGCTTGAAAAAAGGTCTCCGAGCGTTCCAATTTGGTATCTCTGCATGTCGCTGCGTGTGCGCAGCGGGCGCTAACGACATCTGTTGGTCACTAAGTGGAACTTTTGTTCGATTCGATTCGGTAGCGATCGGTTGTTGTCGGCTTCTTACTGATGTTTAGGGTTGACGTAGATTTTAACACGCTTCAAGTTCGAGTAAAAACATTTTTTTACAGTTACGTATTAAATTATAGAAGGTAAATTAACCTATGCTCTACGTAATTCTAATTCTAAGATATTTTTTATTCAAGGGGCATTCGTTTGTAATTTAACTTGAATGTAATACTTGGTTGAATCGAATTCCATCTCCATATAAAATAAAATAACGATTTATTTTTCACGAAGTATTTACGCGTATGTGTCAACCCTAATCAATACGTTTAGTTATAGTTGCGGTCTATTATATTATTGGAATGCGTTTTCAGTTTTGATTTTTTCGCCTTTCTCTGAAACATCCTATTCGTATTTATTTAAATGTTATATAACGTTTTGTTTTAGTAATTAGGAATCATAACAAGGTTAATTTAACATAGAAAAATGTATGCAGTGCCAATGGTAAACTTTTGCAGTCCGTACCATCTTGCTACTAGCCCTTATGTTCACAGTCCTGGTCTTGCAGAACAATATTGGTTGTAAGTATAATAAAAACATTAATACCCTTATAAAGAAAAAAATATATGCATTTTTGTGCGTAAGCGCGTGGTTTAGTTTCTTGTTTGTATTTTTTTTTATAATATAAGGTTGCAAACGAGCAAGCGGCCACGTGAATCCACCGAAATGGAAAGCGACCGCTGCCCGTAAACATCCGCAACTTCAGATGCGTTGCCTACCCTTAATTGACGGAGGAAGAGATGCACATAAAGAGGACATTTCCCCTTCATATGCGTCTCCTCCACCGTCAAATCTACTCTTCCTTTCTATCCTTACTACTTAAGAAAAGAGTGGAAAGGAAAAGGGACTAAAATTAGTGAACTCCCGATTCTTCTAAGTACAGTTAGCTTAAATTCATTTTCGTTTAGGGGTTGAATTTCCTTCAACATAGATTTATAACACACAGACTATTAATTCTTATAGTTTACCTTTTTGAACAATACGTATCATCATATAAGAAAATATAAAGCTTATCAATACTACTGTAAAATTCACAATTTCATGCAATTAAATTTTTTGTTATTTTGTTGCAGGAAACCGTCGGTAGATGGCGTTGGGAACGCTGCTTCGGTTAATAGTCGGTAAGTTGCTTCAGCAAAATTTAAATATATTTCTAATAAATGTTCTTATTTTATTTATAACGGAGCGCCAAGAGTTAATTATAGCAATTAGTAGAGGAATAAAATATTCTGGAAAATGATACATTTTCAACTCGAATTTTACGTATATATTTATTACGTACCTAGAGTATTTTAAAATTTAGCAATATTACTTAGATGAGAAACAAACAAGGTTTAACTTTACTGCGATTTTCCATGTAATAATTAAAATGTATCTTACTTACAACTTAAAAAAAATATTTTAGTTAACATAAGTATTCCATTGTAATAAAATATAATAAAGTAATTATGTTGCTTTAAAAGTAATTAGTTTCCTTTTTTTATAAATAATATTGCTAATTTCTACCAAATCCATGCAATAATAACCACATACCTTCACAAACATACAAAAAAAATCGTAATCATATCGCAATTTGCCGCCGAAAAACGTGTTATTCGAAACCAATCTCAATGATCGGTGTTGGGTCAATCCGGATACGGAGTGGCGCAGGTATCCAATAACCCAATCACTAAAAATGGTAATTTCCTTCCCGTTCTCACGGAGTAAGAGTTAAATATAGGAAGATCGACAAACCAATCGGTATACCAAAGGTAATACCAGAACTGGTATAAGTTTGCTACGTTACAGTTCTTAGAAAATAAAATTTGAAGTTCTTGTAATTGTCTATTGGTAACTTAATTCCTTTCATTTAACGTAAAGGTATCTTACTCGTTTACCTCCTTTATTAGAGGTAAAGTTATATTAAGAGCGTGCGCACATCTGAAACAAAACTATCGCATAAATGTTTAGTCGCGTTTTGATTCCTATGAGCATGGAGGTGCGCACACTACCCGATTTTTAGTTGTGCAACTAAACAGTTGAATTGGCTGCGAAACAATCGACAATCGGACAACAGTTGCGATAGTTTAGTCAAAGGTGTGCACTAAATAATACATTATAAATTACGTTTTAAAAAAACATAAATTGACACAGGAATTGTAGACTTATTATAGACATAAAATAGACTAATTTATAATACTATTCCGTTATTTAGTTTTAGATAGACTTAATTTCCAAACAGTCCACTCGTTTAGTATTCCCGGCGCGCGACCTTTAAGCCTCGGCTTAAGATACTGGCTAAAAATAATGAAAAACCCGCACTCCCGGATAAGCCTGGACAAATTAGATTTAGCCAGTCCCTGTGTGAATAATATTGTGCGACAAACACCAATCAAGTTTTTATAATTGCTTATATCTGAACAAAATATTAACTATCGGTTGTTATTCTAAAAGTCTTAAATTTGTTCATCTATACTATTATAATAAAGCGTAAATACACACTTCTTACCTAAGATGTAAGCAATTACAGCATGTTTTTGAATAATTCTTTATATAATAAAAAGCTCTATACTTACATCACGCTTTAGGCTATATATTTTCACGACATTAAACTTAGACATTTGCTATTGATAATTTGACAAGTTAAACAATAAAATTAAATTTTCATAACTTCATGTGGTTGAAACCGCATGGGAACAGCTAGTTTGGTTTAAAAATAAATCTTGTTAACGGGGAAACGTCGAATTCCTAATATGGTAGCCTATTTTACTTCTTACTAATATTATGGGAAAATTCGGATGAGTGGATGGATGTTTGTTAGAGTTTGTAGCCTAAATTTTCAAACGGATTTTGATGATATTTAGCTTAGATGTAAAGGATACTCTTAAAGAACACATAGGTCACTTGTTTTTGTTTTTTTTTAGTTCCACACAGGCGGAGCTACGAGCTACAGCTAGTGTTTCATATTTTTATTGGTAGTTATTATAATTTTGTTAAAAGTGTGAGACATGTGGTGAGATACACCGGTAGAGGTTCTAGAAAGAGGTAGATGGTGAAAGGTGACATGATCAAGAAGTGATGACTGAGATGATGGAAGACAGCTTAACCTGGATAACAAAAACATGGTTCGCTAACCCTATCAGTATAAGAACCTGACATAAGTTATTATGTGTGTTAGGGAATTATTTTGCTCATTTTAATGTATACGAAATATATCTAGTGGTAGGAATATTTTTGCTATTAAAATTGCCTCTTTATAACACTATCTTTAACTTCTGCATTTATTCTTCAAGCATTGTACTACAAAATATTCATTAATAACCTCTCGAATGCATTGTATCAATGATAAATCTCATAACACAATAGTCCTTTGCAATTACGACTCGCCTGGTAAGGGACAATAATCGAAAATGACCGATGCAATCGATTCCTGACATCTCGATATATCGACTATTTGCTCGATTGCTTTATTGTTATTGTATAACCGATTTTCGCTTTTAGTGATGTGAAGAGATTTAATTACAATAATAATTTAATAATGTTTTAATGAAAAAGAGTTTGTCTAGTACGTAACAAATAAACTCAAAAACTACAAGATTATTAAAATGATTTTGCCATTAGAAAGCTACGTTATCACTGAGTAACATATGATTTTTTCTTTTTTTTTTAATATCGCGCGGACGATGTCTGGAGCAAAATTTAGTATTTTTACAGACTAACTGTCCCCCTTAACTTCTTCAACGTCAAGTTGAAATAAAGTGGCCAATGTTATTCACGCTAACATCAGTTACCTTCTATTAAAAGTGCTTTCGAAATCAAGCTGTTCCGGAGATTTTTTTTGTTATAAGTAACAAATGCATTATGTGCTTGAAACTTTTATATTCGGTACAAACACCGAAGTGTTGGAAATGGTTTAATTGGGTGTTTCATAGACATTCTAAGCAAATAAAATCACAAAATCATTTATTTAAATCAAATGACATCAACATTCGTAAAACCCTAGTTTCATGTAAAATCGTTTTTCACAGTTAAGATACTAAGAAGTCTCTATATGCTCAGTTTCTGAAGTCAGGTGATTTTTCACTGAGCTACTAAAATAGGAAAAACTTCACACCACTAGTACGCTGGTCACGTGCCCCTTTGTGCGAGAGAGAGCGCTGAAACCCAATTCAATTATATGCAAGAGTGAGTGAGATGGAATGCTTGATATATTACTAATATTACTTCGAAGTTGCCCATCTTAGTGTAGAATATAATAATTCAGAAAAAATGATTTTATTATGTGTATACTAGCTTTTACCCACGACTCTGGTTGCGTGGAATTTAACGAAAACAAAAATAGTAGCCTATGTGTTCTAGACTCTGCTCTACATTTGTGACAAATTTTACCAAGATCTGTGGAACTGTTAAGGCGGCAAATTCTAACAAACATCTGTCCATCCATCTAAACTTTTGCATATGTAATATTATCAAGAATATGGTAATTTTAAAATGTAGTAAATATACTTGAAGTAAGAACATTGAATGAGAAAGTTTAAAATAAAACTTGACTTGTATGGAAGTGTTTATGACAAAATTTTTTGCGACCTAATCCAAAGTAACAAGTTAGTAAAACGTTTAGAAAAGGGATATCTTTTTAATTCAAGAACACCATTTAACCAAGAAAATTAAGTATCCAAGAAGGTTTAAAAACATTTTTTTCAAGTAAGTATTTGTAAAGAATTGTATTCATAATATTAAAAAATACCAGACCTCCGCTGTATCGGCATTTGCATACGAATGCTGTCTTTGTGAGATCTATTCAAGTCGACTTCTTTCATAAGACATTCTCTGACACTTTAAATAGTATTGGAGATTAAAATACCCCTCACTTTTTTCAATTCCTCCTATTAGTTCACACTCTGTAGTAATTTTATCGTATACCAGTTATTAAGAACTAGATATTCCTCGCGTTTTCGTCCGCGTGAAATTGGAAAATAATCAAAAAATATAGCCTATGTTACTCACAGATAAACTACCTTTCTAACGGTGAAAGAATTTTTTAAATTGGCACAGTATTTTTTACGTGAATCGAATACATACAAAGTACAAATCTTTCTTCTATATAATATTAGTATAGAACATTGCAATCGTTAAATGAACAATACCAAATCCTTTAATGTAGATAAAATCTCCGCTAAAGATACGACTTTGAGTGTGAAGGTTGATGTAATTTTAAACTTCAAATGTATTTTTTTTACGTTTTACGAATTGACATAATCACAGCACTCATTAAAACACTTTGTACATGTTTTACGTCAGAAGAAACTTCAACATTTAATAATCGCCTCAAGAGAAATACATGTTATTCACACTTACTTTTAAATCTCTAATTGTTTCTAGTTGAATAGTAAACATAGATTAATCTTGATCTGTTTTACAATTGATGGTCAAAGTAACAATACAAGATATATTAACATACAGGGCCATTTATCTACATTCCCATTGTCCCTTCTTACTGCGCTATCTGATAGATACACTATAGATAAGGCATCTCTAAACAATTAGGTACTCTGTACTTGTTTAAGTTGTAAATTCGATTAACTAAGATCTGATAATATAAGAAAATTAGCTGTTGTCCGCGACTTTGTCCATGCAATATAAGGATAAAAAAGTAGCCAATAACATGCCCGTCAGCTATCCTTCAGTGAAAGTCCTGTCGGAATCGGCCCAGCCGTTTCGGAGATGACCCAAACCAAACGAGGTATGCGGCCAGACAGACATACAGACAATCTTCCTGAAATCTGGAGTTTTTGTTTTGATATTACAAACAGACACTCCAATTTTATTATATGTATAGAGAAGTAGAAGAAATATTTTTAAAATTTTCTAGTCAATTTCGCAAACAACTTGTATAGTTTAAAGTAATTACTGAATGTTAAAATTTATCGCTACGATTATAACGCAGTTTGACTCTTGACTGCTGTTTTTAATTCCAGCATTAGTTATATGAAACGAAAGTAGAATGTGGATATTCCACAAAATTTTAAAAGGAAACATTGATTATTGACAAATACCACAATCAAAAATATGTGTTAAGATTGAATGTGGATGGCTACAAAGGAAGAGGAAGACCGAAGAAAGTATGGATGGATTGTGTGAA